TCATTTACCTTTTATTAGGTGTGTCAAAATATGATGAATTGGCTTTGAGAAGAAACAAATATTGTGAGTGTAGGTAGCATTTAGTTATGATTACAGTTATTATATGTGTCTATATGTAAATATAGTTATCAAAGAACAATAATGTCTTATCGGTATAATTATGGGTCGTTTATTGAATATGTCACTATATTTATGGTCATTGTTTAATAAAAAAAAAAGAATACAACTACAAATGATAAGCTCGTTACATTTCCTATTAATAATCACAAGTGTTTACAAGTTAAAATATATTAATGAAACAAACAAAACTACAACCTTTGTCTCATTGACATCATTTCAATTTTTTATTTCTCTTAAACAAAAAAGAATGTATATTTTCCTATTAGGATTGAAAGCCAAAACATTTATTGGAACGTAATGCCCTTGAATGCATATGTGGTCCTTTTGTAGAGCCAAGGACACAAGTATAAAAGTATCTATTTAGGACCATAAGCATATCTATTTTTTCAAGCATTATAACAGGCACACACACTTACCCTTCTGTTTTATTTTTTTAGTGAATTCAAGTGTCTGTTTATAAAATAACACAATCAATTTCTTAAATAATTAAAAAAAAATGTAAACAACAGTTAAAATCTAAATTGAACATAAATCAAAATTAAACACAATCTAAACCAAACTTAAATGCCTTCTTTTCTCCCATGTCTTTGAGCAAACGGGATATTACAGATGGAGGAGAAAGGGGTAGGATAGAGAAGAAGGGGGTGTCGATGAAAGGAAATGAAAAAAGAAGGCTCCCGTGTTTTACATTTTATTGCATACTTGTATTTTGGAAGGAGATGAACAATGCCTTGTTCGATGAATGATGCCTTGTAGCGGACTACCTTGTATGGAGATGATTGTCGACTTTGGGAGGGAGATGAATGGTGCGTTGTGTAGGGATAGGAACACCTAATGTTCATTTGAAATTACCGAGAAGTTGAAAGAGATCAAATGTAATTTTGTAGAGTAAAAAGCAAGGTTGTAAAAAACGCTAGACATTAGCTAGGCGTTGGACCGGGGTCTAGGGATTAATCGGCTAGGCGGGGATTAATCGGGGACCGTTAATTATTAAAAAAATTATTAAAAAATTAATAAATATAACATTAATCCTAATAATATAACATTAAATATAACAATAATAAATATAACATTATATTAATTAAAAAAATAATAAATATAACATTATAACATCAAGCTACGATTAAAAAAACCCCTTTGATCCTTAATACACCACAAACTCATCTACATCACAAATTATCTTCTCTTTGTCGCTTTCACGCATGTAAACAAACATGTATGCGTTCGAGTATTTTGTAAATTTAAACGGAGCATTATTGAAACCAGGGTAGCTGTTGCAAGGCATGAAAGGAGAGGATAAATTTGTGGTTGGAAACACAGAAACTCAAGTGAATACTCTTTCATCATCAAACTTGAAAATACAAGTAGAGAATGATTAAACATATTAGAACTCATCATTTATCTGAAAGAGTTGGCCTGATAAATGCATAGTAGTCTCCACCATGCACACCACCATTATTAACCAATACACTGCCAGGATACACAGTGAAAAGGTAAGTCCTGATTTTGCAAATACCTAATATTTGACAGCCACATTTGATACCTATGCAGGTTATAAAGATTCCGGACACACTTATCAGCATCAGGAGATAGATATTTTCCATTTATCTACACAATGAATCAGAACAATAAGCAGGGTCGTTTAATAATGCTTCAAACTGTTATGAGTTGCAACTTTTCATGCACAATTAATACCATAGTATGATTATTTTCTTGTCGATCTAAAGTCCAAATTGATGCATTCGATGTAATTCATATTGTGTCCTTCAAATAACTTATGTATTGTCAATTGATCAAACACTTGGTCGGCAGATGGTTTCATACACAAAATAATTAAAGATTTCATCTAGATACAATCTGATTTCATACACAATTCATTTCTCAACTGATTTCATACACAATTTGTTTGTCAGCTGATTTCATACATCAGCTCCAACTGATTTCAGAAAAATAAATTACAAAAACACAATTGCTTACCTGATGTTGCAGATGTCGAAGTCGCTTATTCTTCGTTTTCATTCCAACCAACATCACCACCACTTATTCCCTACCTGTTACAACCGAGACACAAATCCAAAAACTCGAACCAGAGAAAGATGAAGAAAGAACAAACGATTTTGGAAAGCAAATTAACAACCCCTGCTTTCTCCCCTCGCTACCTTTCCCTTCGCAGACCCCTTCATCTGATTCAATCAATGGTGCCTGATGCGAGTTTCGAAGTTGAAAGTGCGAAGGAGAAGTTCTTCTGAGCTCGGGCTTCTCTAACTCGAGATTGTGATGGTGAAGTTCTAAGTTGAGCAGGTTCGTACCGGAGCAAAAGGCGTGATCAAAAGAAGAGGATGTTGACAGTTCAATTTCTCAGTCCGTTCATGGTTGAGAGTTGAGACGAGAGAGAATATTTTTTCCCAATACGTTCGAATAAGAAAATTTGGAACCAACCCTAGCAAAATTTTCAATTTGACATTTTTGCCCCTAATTTTTTTGAATTTTCGTTGAACGCTTTTGACATTGGAAAATATATAGTTTGAGTAGAGGGGGATCAAATTTTTAGTTTTTCGGACGGAAATTTAAATAAAAATTAGTTAAATTTAGCGGGAAACTAAGATTAATTAAGAAAATATTTTAGGGGGAAACAAAAATTTCATTCACGATAAATATACATTTTATTTTTAAATTTTGATTTATCAAATTATGAGGTATAGTGTGATGACCATCATGTGGTCTGAGTAGGGATGGCAAGTCGAATGATTATTTGTGTTTTTTACACGACATCGAACACACTATTTGTATTCAACCAAGACACAACACGACAAGATAGCATGTTATTTCATTAACATGAGCACGACTCAATAAGATCACAACAAACACGAATAACATGATATCACTACTTTTAAACACGTCAAACAATAACATAAAACAATATATAATGGCACTAAATATACACAACTTATAAACACGAACACGTCGCTGACACGACGTTTCATGCTATTATCGTTTTAATATCATGTCAAAAAAGGGATTTGTTTTTATATGATCATACAAGTGTATGATTTGTGGGATTGTTCTATGTGACAACAGAAGATGACAAGAAAAGGTAATAATAAAAGGAATCTCATGGTTGGAGTGTGTTAGGGGTGAGGATCGGTTGAGTTTTGGTAGGTCAAGTGGGGAGTAGGGACCGCTTATAATGTTGTTTTAACAAAAATTAGTTACAAAAAATGTTAAAATAAGATAAATAATGGTGTTTTTAAAATTTCATGCTCAAAGTTCATGTAACTTGTATAATTAATCATGTATATGTTTACATCTCATGCTTATTGCTTATGCTTAGGGCTTATGACTTATGATGTATGGCTTAGGGAATAAGGCTTATGATTGGGAATTAAGGTTTACGACTTATGGTTTATGAATTATGACTTGTGACTTAGGGCTTAGGGATTATGAATTAAGGCCTAAGGCTTATGGATTATGGTATATTACTTAGGGCTTAAGGGTTAGCACTTAGGAATTATGACTTATGGCTTATAAATTATGGTTAATGGCTTGTGGCTTATGGATTTGGCTTATGACTTATGACTTATGGCTTGGGGCTTAGGGCACACAATGTATGACTTTGGGCTTGTGCCTTATGGCTTATGGATTGAGGTTGTATGCTTGGCGTTTATGGTTTAATAAATAGATGTCAAGGTTTATGGCTTATGTTTTATAGCTTATACCTTAGGGCTTGTGGCTTGTGGTTATGGTTATAGGTAATGGCTTAGGAAATAAGGATTAAGGCTTAGGGGTTATGACTTATGTTTATGGCCTAAGAATTAAGGCTTACAAATTAGGCTCATGGCTCATTGCTTATTGCTTAGAGCTTCGAATTTGTTGCCATGGGCTTGTTGTTTATGGATTATGGGTTATGACTTGTGGCTTATGACTCATGGCTTATGGATTAAGGATTATGACGTATAACTTATGGCTTGAAGCTTAAGGCTTATAACTCAAGTCTTAAACCACAAATCTTAAGCCTTCAATTATAAGGCCTAAGCCCTAAACCCTACGCTATAAGCCATAAGCCATCCAACTATACCCATCTTCACCCACACCCACACTCTACTTACACCTACCTATATCGATACTTACCCCACCCTACCTCCACCTCACCACACCTTCATTCGCCGTACCCACACCCCACACCCACCCACCCATCTACCCAACCATACCACCCATCTATCCACCCAACACCCACACTCCTATGACAACACCCACACTCCTATGACAACACTCCCACACCTACCAAGCCTAACACTATATAAACTACAAAACCATAACTAGACATATATACACCTACCACACACCACCCCAACCCTACCTCTACACCCACATCCACATGCTCATCCCAATTACACCCCACATCTACCCTATCGACACGTACCCCCAGCCTCACTCTTATATGTGTACCCATACGCCTAACCACCCATAACTATATGATTCCTACAAGCCCACACTGACGCCTACCTAACCCCCGATAATTGGACTTTCGTTTCACAACTCAAGCCACTAGTAGTAAAATAAAAATATCTATATTGTAATTAAAAACTTATAAGTATTAATAAATACATAGGTTTTACAATTATCATTGCATTAAAAAAATATTAATTTTAAGATGATAGTAAATAATAATATGTATTATAAAATAAAATAATATAATTAACAAAAATATTTATTAAAAAGTTAAATATTATTTTTTCTAAATGTAATATATTAATATATATATATATATATTATATATATATATATATATATATATATATAAGTATTCCCTCCACGTATCTAAATCTAAAATATATGAATTTCCCACGTTTGAAATCTAAAATATTCGAATTCCCAATGCCCAAAATTTTAAATGATCCAATTCTATTAACCTACCTTCAAGGACCTTTCTCAAATCTCTCTAACCCTAATAACCGGCGAACACCCTGTACTCTTAGTCTTCTGTTTCGTGCACCGCCTCCACCAATAACACATCAATTGATTAGAACTCTCCATTTCTTCTGGTCATTTTATTGTCGTCGCTCACCAACCATCTCAATCGCATTCTCAATTTCACATTGCTGCTGCTCTCTCTCTCTCTCTCATAAAAAACAACGACGTCTTCTTCTTCAAAGCACTCTCTCCCGCTTCCATCGACATTACTTGATCCGCCTCCGGCCAACACCTCCACTCCGCCAACACCGCCACTTCGATAGCACCCTTTCGGTAACAATATTAGATCGAGAATCATATAACAATATTAGGCCAAGGGAAATCGAGATAATGCAGAAATTGATAATTTCCAGTCGAAGCCATCAGGTTCCTTCACCGTGTCCGGTTGTTGATCGTGTCGCTGTTACCCTATGTCGTCGCCGTTATCAGCGACCGTCTCTGTCACCAGGTACGCCTCTATATGGTATCGATGTTTTATTTTCTTATTTGATTCTTATTTCGACTAATTCTTTATTCATATTAGTGTACATCGCACGCACCACAAGACACCGATTATCCCAATTCTACGACGACGATATCGTCGAGCCTTCAACCACCGGTCAGATTCAAGATTGTGACCTTTGCCTCAAGACTTATGCCACCCGCTTTTATCTTTCCTTGTATGTAAGTTAATAACTGAAATATATATTTGATTCATATCTTCTTGGTTTTTCTGTTTGTAGATGAGGGAAGCGGGACGATGTCCTTTAGTTTTGTCAAGACCTTAATGGAATTTTGGATTATTGATTGCAGTTTAATAATTTTCCTGTGATGGATGGTGACAGCTTTTTTGAGAGCTTTAGGCAATTTGTGCTTTTTACCCATGCCAGGTATCTTGTTCGGTGGCAGCCCTTGATGCTATCAAGTTCTTTCCGTGTTATGCTGTTATTTGGTGTTTGCTTTCATATTATGGGTTTGATGGCTTTCCCCTATCGACTGATTGTTTTGTTCTTGGTTGCTTATTGCTGTTGTAAGCTTAGATGTGCTCACTGTTGGACAATTGGTGTTTGGGTATATTTACTTTTAAACTTTTTACTTTTTACCCCCAAAGTTACGGTTGGTTGAAATTGTAACCTAAAGTTTTGATTTTATAGCTTTTACTTGCGGAACAAATCACAATTTCGGGTGTATTAAGGCATGTTGATGCCTAGGTTTATGAGCCAGTTAACTGTGATTCACTTTTGGTAAACTTTATTCAATGAAAAAGTTAAATGTTGGGTTGCTTGCTTTTAACTTGTGTTTTTGTATCACTTGAAATGTTACATGCTTATGAATTTAATGTAACGGAGAAAGCTGGTTAACTTTAATCTTCATTAACAACATCTAATTTTTGTTAACCTGCATTTTATTTTTGTTAACCTGCATTTTATGTTAACTTCTTTGTGCATTACATTTTTTTTCTTTGTAAACTTGTATACTAAGTTTTTAATGAACTCATTTTTTTTGTTTCAATGTTGTTGGTATAGGTACCAGATATTATATCACATGAAGACCATCAACTTCAAAACTCAAACAAAAGGAAACCAACTTACATATCATTTGATTCCCTTCTCAAGAAGACAAAGAGCAATACTAATAAGATGAATGTCTAGTTACGTCTAGGTTTTGGTTTGTGATGTGTTAGCTTTTTTATCATAATTTAAATACTTTCAATTAGTACAATTTTTGTTTTTTGGTATTTTAATTAGGAATTTAATGTATGGATTTGGATTTCAATTTTTACTACATATGAAATTATGCGTTATGATATTGTTTCATATTGTTGGGTTTGGTTACTTTTAATTAAAATTATTTTGATGTGTCTACAATGTAGAAAAAGTAACAATAAAAATTGAATTATTGTGGCTTTAATATAAATTTGGCTATGTTTTATAGGTTTTCAATGTCTCTAAAATTATATAATGGTTACTTTACATCATTTTTTAACGTGTGGTTAAATGGTTAACAATAGCCATAATATACAAGAATTATGAGTCTAAAGTTGTTATAAAATGATGTTTATTCTAAAGTTTTTGTGACTAAGTTAAACAATAACAACATGAAAAACAATTTATGTGGCAAATAAATACCATAATTGATTGATTTTGTGACTAAATACTACCAAATCGTCACTTACCTCATTAATTATATGTGTCCATTTACCGAACATGGACACGTTCACCGTAATTATACGTGTCTAAAATATACCCAATAGTGTTAATACGATATCGAATAGTCCGTAATTTTAACAAAATGTGTGTCTTTATAATACTTATGATTGTATTTTACTTAATTGTGTGTCTCTATACGATAGACTATAGTCACAAAAATTGATTGTTTTTTGTGACTAATTATTAGCAATTTGCCACTTATGGAATTAATTACATGCGGCCATTTAGCAAATATGGTCATGCTCACCATAATTACTTGTTTACAAAAAATACACAATAGTGTTAATAAAATTTAAACTGTGTGACAATATAAAACAAAACAACTACACTAAAACATCATGAATGTCGCAAGGTGGTGATATACAGTCACCACATTTACTAAATAAATGTGACTACTGACGGTTTAACGCTACAATATTGGATATTTAAGGACAAAATTCCGTACACATTTGCCACACTTTTATAATACGGCCACATGTTTTCATATCATACAGACACTACATTTTAAAGTGACCATAAGACCCATACGATGGCGTCACCTTCCGTCACACTTTCAGTGAAAAAATAAAATATCACTATACGCATATGGTCACACTTTTTTGGTGTGACTGTAAGTCATTTCTCTTGTAGTGTAATATATGCATTTGAATATAAGAAATCAGATTCATCAGTACAAATAAGTTCAAATCAGATTCGAAAAACTTAGATTCAGCATAATCAAAATTCAATTCGTAAATCAGATTCGAAATCAACATATAAACAAAATCATAACAGGTGTGTCGAACAGGTATGCTTTGGCATTATATCTTACAGAAACTAATCTAAAAACTTCGACATAAATAATCATAATTTTAGTCTAAAAACTAATCTAAAAACTTAGAAAGAACTCGAGTCTAAAAACTAATCAGAATCAACATTAAATCTTACATGGATTAGGATTTAGGAACTTATTCTTACCTGGATTTAGATTGTGTCGAACATATGTGATTCGAGCCTTCCACTTTGATTCTGCGAACTGCGATTGCCGATTCTCCAAATGGTGGTGAGGAAAAATAATGAGGCAATGATCGACTAGAGAGGTTGCGACTTGCGAGGGGTGATAGACGGGTGAAACGAGGCAACTAGAATACTGAATTCGAGTCTTCTTCGATGAAACGAAACGAGCTTCAGGAATAGGCCTTCGATTCTTGTGATGTCGGCTGGAAGAGATTGACGATAGTGGTAAGTGGTAACATGATTTTAGGGTTAGAGTATCTGAGGGCTTAAATGTAATTATATATATATATTCTGGGCGGGTCGGGTCGGGGCACGCATAACCCACTCCCTGACCCGAACCCGAAAAAAATACCCGATAACGACCCGATACCCGACCCGTAACCCGATAAGCTCAACCCGACCCACCCCGAAATCTTCGGGAATCGGGTTTTCCCGTCGGGTTCGGGTTTTTTTTGCCATCCCTACTTTGGTTTATTTTGGTCATTTAAATAGGAAGGTAAGGATACTGAAGAGATCTAGGCCAAAATGAGTATTGAACTAGTAAACTCGGTAAGTGTTGCCGATAATATAAAGCGCAAGATGAAACAATAACATTGTACTTTTATTTATCTCTAAATATTATTAAAAGATAACCATTAATTCATCAATGAAGCAATCAGGGCCCTTACTTGTATTTCAGTCTTATGTTTTCTACCCTTAGATCAAATTGCTGACATCATCTTCCGCAAATAGAATTCAAATAGTATATAATTATAGAATCTTTATTCACGTTTTGGAATATTTAATTGCTTACCATACTAATCCTTCCAATTGATTCTAATTGATATTATACATAGTAAACGAATTTTCATAAATCAAATGATATATCTGTAAAAAGGAACTTAAAATGTATGTTATTTTCTATTTCAAATTTAAATTTAAAATACATTTCAGTTTATTTACTTCCTATTTTTCATCTTTATATATCTTCTATACACAATACAAAATTCTAACATGTTTATTATTCGATTTACGCAGGAACAGTTGACATACTTCCTCTGCAGAAAAATAGAGCAAAAACTTCTCCAACCTTGTCATCGACGATCACCTCTATGTACTTTTATGCCTTATTATTTTCTGTTTCGCACTTTCAATTCCTGTTATCAAATCACTGCATACTTTCATTAACTCAAACCTCGATCTTCACATTAATCTAATTAGTTATTTCAATAGATATGTTTTCAATAAAACCATTTATTTTGATTTTATTCGTTTTCCTCCAACTAGCTATGTCAATGTTGTTATTGTTTTTATTTAAATTAAACATTCTGAATTAAAAAGAGTTTCAATTTCATACAGTTTTGCCTTTATGGAAAATTGATAATGCAGCATTCGGTGCTATTCATACAAAGGGAAAATCTGGAAAACAATTTTTTATCCCTTCATAGTAGGATACTTTCATTTTCTACAAATGAACATAATACCAATGTACTTCTGAACCATAAATACATTGCTATTCTGTTCTTATATTTGTATTGTTGTTCTAAATTATTGACTGCTATCAATTGAATATATTTGCCCCTTTCAACTATAAAGTTTACCATTTTCATGAAAGAAAATTGTCCAGCTGACCATTTTATCACTACCAAAGAATAACAATGTACTTCTGAATCATAAATAAAATGTTATTCTGTTTTTTTATTTGTATTGCTCTTTTAAATTATTGACTGCTATCAATTTGACATATTTGCTATTTACTTACTTCAACTTATTTATTCTGTTTTTCTTTTTTTTTATTTTTTATCTTTTTGTTTTTGTTAAATATGTGCATATGTTCATTTCCATTTAGTGATTACCACTTTTTTTTGTTTCTAATCAACACCTCACATTTGACCATTTACTGTGACAAGTAATATTGTTTTCTCATATTTTTATAATTGATTGGATTTCATGGAATAAAATGATATAGTAAGATGAAATATATTTTTTTGTATATTAATAGTATCTGATGAATAAAAGAAAAAAAGTAGGAGGCTAATGAAATTGTAATCTAAAAGTGTAGTTGATGAATACATTATATAAAACATGGATTTTTTTAATTTTTTTATTTTTTTTTGTATTGCAATGAGTAAAGGGGTAAGATGGTCATTTAGATTTAAGTAAGATTTCATTTTTTTTTTGTATTTTATTTAAACCAACTATTTGATGGTAGTAATTTTTATTTTAAATTTGTGTACTACTGTATTTTTTGAAACTATTAGTTTATCCTTTTATTTATCCGTTGAGTCACATGTGGTTAACAAGAGTCAATGACAATCATTATCAACTGTTGGATTGTATTTGCATAGACTCGTCTTCACTAATAGTTAGTTATAAGTTATATGTAGCTGTTTCTGGCTTGACAAGTAAAAAAGGCTTGAAGGTACTCATATGTGACGAGGAAGATCGTCCAACCAATAATACAAAAAATGTTGTCTACAAAGAGGTCCTCCAACGATTATAGCTATCAGACATTTTGTTTTATTTTTTAGACATTTCAATATATTTAATAACACAAAGTCTCTTTATGTTACTTTATCTTTTTTTTTTTGTATGTTTTTTATAACTTTATATGTATTTTTATATGTTCCCCGCGTTTTACGCGGGTCATAATCTAGTTTGTGTATCATAGGAAAAGGAAATGGAAACACATTCTGCCCCTTGCGAAACTCCTTCTAGTTAGAACAAATCATGGCATTTTTTAATTTCTCTATAGTTTGATAGCTAGATCAATAATATTTAAAATCAATTTTTTTTGGCAAACCATCATTTTTTATCATTTAATTTAAGTTTTCGGTGTCAAATCTACTGACCGATTAATTTTTGAATAATATATTGGTTTGGAAATGATTTCTAAGGTTCAGCCGCTTGATATTGTTTCATTATATCATTTTTATACGCAAAACATTGATCTAAAAAATATGTAAAATATCGTAGTTTGGTTAGATGTATCATTTTTATCCGTTATTAATTGGATACGTGTATAATATAAATTGTAAGTAACAATTGAGATGATTACATTTTCTTTGTCTTTTGTTTCTTATTGGTCATTTTACTATAGCAAACCATTTAGTATAATCAATTTAACTCAGGAACTATGATTAAACGAATTTCCTATGAAAGTTACCGATTTGCATTCCACAAATATAAATACATCAAAAGATACAATACATAGGTCTGGACTATGTACAACACATAAAATGAAGATGGGCCTATATATATCGATACTAGCATGCTCCCGTAGTTTGAGTGATAGGTTGGCGAACGCTCAAGCTGACACAAAATTGAATGGGGGAGACGGAAGACCTTTGGTGAAGATTTAAAGATTTTGACGTACTTGTATCGGGAGGAACATTAAGGACTTGAATTTGAATAAAGGCGACTGTCTCTCACAAAGTGAATGTAGAGATCTATATGTTTTGTGCGTTGGTGTTGAGCCTAATTTGTGGTCATGTATATTGTACTATATTATTATAGTGAACAGTGGTGGTCTGTGGCGGTAAATATATATTGGTGTATACATCTATATTAGATTGTAGAGCCCATGTTCTCATGTATTGAATTAGTCCTAATGCCCA